ATTTGGTGGTGGTTGCTACACAGCAAGGGTATCAAACGAGGGTGTGAAGACATTCGATTATAAAATTTTACTATGTATTTTCGAATTTTACTATGATGCAGATCATCCAAATTTTACTGTTTTACAACCTCCTATAGATCGGTGGGAAATGTCCTGTGGCTGTTATATGAAAAATCCATTAAATCCGTTAAACCGAGATAAATTTGTAAAAATTTGGTTTTGAAAATTTATCTGCTAAACCCCCAAATCTGCTATACCAAGACTCGCTGTGTAATTATTTTTATTAGTATCACATGCAACTAATAAAATTCTTCCCCTCTATAAATGCATCCCTCCATAAATGCACACTCTCATCCATTCCCAAGGGGGGTGCACTTATGGAGGGTTCACTGTATAATGAAATGTGAAAATTTTTAACTTATATAATATGACTCATTATACAATAGGTTCACTATATCCAGAGCCGACTGTATTATATTTTCCTTACACTGTTACACAAGCAAATCATATTGATTGGTTGGTTGGTTGTTGATTAATATACACTACCTGGAAAAAAGTATTTGGACACCTATTTACATTAATTACCCAAAAACATACATAATACCCGCACATAAAATTTATATTATTTTATAGCTTAGGTTTTGAAGAATATTCATGTAAAATTTTATTTTTTCAGCTTATGCGAAACCTTAATAAATAAAAAAATACGAATTTCAACCAAAATTTTTTTTTCCATTTTGATCGTCAAAATTAAATTGGAAACAAAAAAAAATTAATATTCAGTTGGCCATCCTTCATTAGAAATGCATTCTTCAATTCTTCTTGGCATGCTTTCAATGAGTGTATGCAATTTTTCATAAGGAATTTGCTGCCATTCTTCTTTCAGTGCAATTTCCAGTTCACTTGCATTTTTTAGATGATTTTTTCGATTTTTTAATCTCCTTTCCAGCTCACTCCAGAGATGCTCAATCAGGTTAAGATCAGGCGATTGAGACAGCCATTCTTTAATATTTTTACTTTGTTTGTTTGCATCCAAATTTTAACATCATTGGCTGTGTGAACTGGTGCATTATCATCTTGATAAAAATAACCTCTCCCATCAAAATCACTCTCTATTAATGGTAAAAAGTTCTTTTCTAAAATCTGAATATAACCGAAACGATTCATTTTTCCATCAACCTTCACCAAAGGACCCAATCCCTTTCCAGAAAAACACCCCCAAACCATTATTCCACCACCACCATGCTTTACAGATGGAACCAAGTTTTCAATGTTATACCGAGTCCCATCTTTTCGCCAAACATGTGTTGGTCCATCATTACGAAATACAGTAAATCGAGATTCATCACTCCATATCACAGACTTCCATTTTGCAACACTCCAACTTCTTTTTCCTAAACACCATTTTAATCTTTTTATTCTTTGTTCATCAGATAAAAGAGGTTTTACTGCTGCGGTACGTGAATAAATTCCAAGATCATGAAGATTCTTTCGGATTGTTCTTGTGGAAACCTCAACACCACTTTTTTTAATAAACTTTCTTTGTATCTGATCTAGAGAACTGCGATTATTTTTATCAATGATTTTTTGTAAAGTTTTCTGGTTTTCTTTATTTAAAGATTTGGGTCTTCCACTCCTTGGTGCACTTTTCATATCGTCAGAATTAGAATAATGTGCTATAGTATATTGAACTGTGCTTTTAGGGATTTTAAGCATCTTAGATATCTCACGAATACTTTTACTGCTAGCACGGAGACCCAAAATTTTTCCTCGTTCTAATTTTGTCAACTCTACTGTTTTTACCATTTTTTAAAACAAAGATTGCAGATCATCACTTTAGATCTTGTTGGCCTTTTATTTGATAAGGTACTACTAAACATAATAGAAAAGTAATGTTTTGCATAGATACTCTTCGAACCTAAGGGTTTAATATAATATAAATTTTACGCATAATAATTATGTGGGTTTTTGAGCACTTTGATAAACAATTTTTTGTTCAAAAAATTTTCGATTGAAGTTCGGATTTTTTTATTTATTAAAGTTTCACATAAGCTGAAAAAATAAAGTTTTACATGAATATTCTTCAAAACCTAAGCTATAAAATGATATAAATTTTATGTGTGGGTATTATGTATGTTTTTGGATAATTAATGTAAATAGGTGTCCAAATACTTTTTTCCGGGTAGTGTATATGTAATTACACTTCCTGTGACATATCGTTTGACTGATAGTAGTCTAAACCAATTCCAGTTCAGGATATTGCCAAATAATATGATGTAATATTACACATAAAAATTAATTGAATATATATTTACAACATTTAAACATATTGGTAATAATGTATAAACAATTACGTTTTGAATGTCTACAGTATATTGCAAAAATCCAAAATATCAATGTGCTAGTTCAGTATCTATATATGAAAACCATTTAATTCTTTGTCCAAATGCCACAATTCAAACTCAAAAGAAACTATTTTGGGATACTTCAAATACTAGTATACAGATAAATTACAACGTAATTGGAAAATGCCATCAAAGAAGCTGATGAAACGCATGAAAACTTTATTGAAGAATCAAATAAAAGTGAAAGCAATTTTGATTTTTGATTTTTATGATATTTAATTCATTCAATATAATTAATTATCTAATTAAATATATGAATCAAACCTTTAGTATAAAAAAGTGTATGCCGCAATGTTCGTGTTTATTGTAATAATAAAATTCAGTGTGTTACATTTTTAAAATCATCCAATCAAATCGCAACTATGCATGTCAACTATATGCACATTTTCCTACCTCTATTTAAAGATTATTTTAGAAATTTGCCAAGCATGGAATAAATGTAAGCAGAAAGAGTGGGCCAAATATAACCTGCTGTATCAGAAAACAAAGAAACGATGAATGTATGGCAATGAATGCTCTTTGTATTTCGGGCCCTGCCTGTAGTTCTAAGATAATTTTTGTCGCGCAGCTCCATTAAAATTTATTATATTTATTATTACATGTGTATCATAACATTCAGTGTTGTGACCCGAAACAGAAACTAACAGAAACCACCTGAAACTAGTTTAGGTTTAGTTTGTTTAGTTTCTGCTTAGTGTAGGAAAATAATAATAGCAATAGTAAAAATTCACCCAAATATTTTTTTCCCAAAAAACATTTCTGATGAAAAAAATTTAATTGAACAAAAACGTGTTTAATAACAATGTCTGAAATTTGACACATGATAATAAAACTCTTGAATAAGTATCTTTCTTGTTTTTTGATTTTTTTGTAAACAAACATCATTTATAATAAATTTTTGAATGAAAATCAACATGGTGAAATCGTCGGTCTATATAAAAATAATGTACCAAACTACAAAATCGTTAAAATTGTTGGTATTCGTATGAAAAACAGTGACTCGTAATATTCAACAATATATCGATGAAAAAGATCTTGTCACAAAGAATCGAAGTGGCCGTCCTAAATTAATCAATGTTGAAAATAATAAAAAATTGTAAAGCAAAACAATCAAAAATCTGTTGAATAAATTAAAATAAATTTAATGAAAAAACAAATATTAATGTTTCAATTAAGACTATCAGAAGGACTTTACGTGGTCATTATGTGTGTTTCAACAAAAAATTTTTTTTTTTGGAAGAGAAAATGGGTCTGATTCATTTCGTCGACATCCATTTCATCGAAAGTTTGTTTCGTCGACAATCACTTCATCAACAATCACTTCATCGACAATCATTTCGTCGAAAGTTCATTTTGTCGAGAGTTTATTTTGTTGAAAGTTCATTTCGTCGACAGTTCATTTCTACAACAATTCATGTTAATTTGCATGTATTACCAATTATGTTTGGGAGAGCGTGAATTAATTGATGATAACAATTGTTTATTATGTTTATGTGGATCAGAATGAATAGGTTTACTAACATATTAGTTTAATTAGTGGATGATTTTGGTTTTAAATGTTTATTTATTTTATTTAGTCGAAACTAATTAAAGATTTAGAGCTATTATTTGTATTAGTACTATGTTTTAAAACACAATTTTAATCCATGTAATCATTGATTGACCAATCAAAATCGTGAATTTGATAACGTAAAAAAATAAAAAATAAATAAATGAATTAATATGAGGGTTAATAAAAATATTCGACAAATGGTTCAAATTTAAGAAGTTGGAAGAAAGCATGCGACAAACCTTCAAAATAGTCT